ATTATCCCGTCATCCACATGAACGGCCATGAACAAATTATTGGCATCATTCTTAAAAAAGCATTGGTCAGATTTTAGTTGGTTTAGACCTTCTTCTTTCAGAAAGGTTGTCAACTTCTTGTTCCATTTCGATGGTGCTTGTCTTAGGCCATATAATGCCTTTTTCAGGAGACATATCTTGCCAGTGTTCTTGTATCCTTCTGGTATCTCCATGTAGTTTTCCTCCTCAAGGTCTCCATACAGGAAGGCAGTCTTCACATCAAAAGTTTGCGTGTTCATATTCTTACGTGCTGCTATGGCAAACAGTACTCTAAGAGAATTCATGTCAACAACTGGGCTAAAGGTATGCTTGAAATCTATTTCCCCTTCATTTTGTTGACATCCTCTCACAACCAGTCTGGCTTTGTGTCTTCCATCATCCTTTATTTTGAAAACCCATTTACTGGTCAGAATTTTCTTGCCCATTGCTTTCTCTCTGTTTACATATATCCAAGTTTTGTTTTGGTAGAGCGAATCCTTTTCCTCTTTAATGGCTTTCTTCCACTTTTCGCTGTCTTTGCTCGCCATGCACTCGTCTTATGTATAGGTGAGCATACCCTCCTTCTGAATCTCTGTGTGCTAGTCTCGGTAATTTGGGTGCATTTGAATGTTTCTTCTTGGTCTCAATGCATATCCATGTTCGTTTTGTCCATTGTTTTTCCTTCCATTATCCTTGTGGTCAGCATTTTCATTTTCTTCAGTATCTGTTGGTTCTTCTTCATTGTTGTCAGCTTTGGGTTCTTGCTGCATTTCGCTCTCTTCCTGATCTGGAGTATTTGTATNTTTTCCTCTTTAATGGCTTTCTTCCACTTTTCGCTGTCTTTGCTCGCCATGCACTCGTCTTATGTATAGGTGAGCATACCCTCCTTCTGAATCTCTGTGTGCTAGTCTCGGTAATTTGGGTGCATTTGAATGCTTCTTCTTGGTCTCAATGCATATCCATGTTCGTTTTGTCCATTGTTTTTCCTTCCATTATCCTTGTGGTCAGCATTTTCCATTTTTTCAGTGTCTGTTGGTTCTTCTTCATTGTTGTCAGCTTCGGGTTCTTGCTGCATTTCGCTCTCTTCCTGATCTGGAGTATTTGGCTTGTCTTCTGAATCCGTCACTCTTTCCATTTCCTTGTGTTTATTTGTTGTCACAGGTTTACCTGTGAATGTCACATCTCTGGAGACATAGGTCCTTTCAGTATTTTGATCCCATATTCTGTAGCCATTTGTGTTTTATCCAACGAATATTCCTTTCTTGTTATGACTGTCCAACTTTTTCAATGGTCCCAGAATTTTAGTATACACTTCTGAACCAAAAATCTTCAATCCAGCCATATATGGTCTTTTACCATACCAATTTTCTGCTGGTGTTCCATTCACTGTCAGTGTTGGACTTATGTTTAGCAGGTATGCAGAAGTGAGTACAGCTTCACCCCCCATTCTCTTACTTAAACCTGAGTGAAAATCAATGCTCTTGCCTTTTCCACAATGGTATGGTTCATCCTTTCGGCAGTGCCGTTTAGCTGTGGCGAATATGGTGTAGTAAATTCCAGTACAATCCCCTTGTTCTTACATCATTCTCTCAAGGCGTTGTTCTTATATTCCCTTCCATTGTCGCATCTTATTCTTCTCACTCTTGTATTGAAGTGACATTCAGCTTCATTTACATATTCCTTCAAAAAGGTATACACTTCACTCTTATTTTCTAACACGTATATCTTACAAAAATGTGTATAGTCATCCACACATGTAAGGAAATATTGCTTATTGTCATAAGTGGTGGGATCAATTGGTCCACACACGTCACTATGAATTATCTCTAATGGCTTTCCAGCCCTACCTCTTTCTGTATCAAATGGGAGTCTCACCTGTATGGCCTGCATACAAACTGAACATATATCAAAATTTTTACACTTGCTCACACTTTCTGGTGTCCCTTGGCATATCTCTTGTAGTTTCTTAAGATTCGCGTAACTTATGTGACCTAGCATTCTATGACACTCTACACATATCTTGCTGAGTCATCATATCTTCATTCCTCACGCTAAAGTTAATTACAAACAATCCATTTTCATCCTTTTTTCCTTCGATTACAACATTTTTGTCCTTGAGTATCTGGACTTTCTCTTTTGTAAACAGCACTTCTCCATCATTTTCTGTAATACAGTGCACTGACAGAAGGTTTTTGCTGAGTTCTGGAACATATGAAACGTTTTTCAAACTACACTCTTTAAATTCCAAATTGCCTATTTCTTTTGCAGTCATACTTTGATTTTTCTTTGCTACCTTTATACATTGAGTATACAGCTTAGTATGTATCAAATCAGTCTTCACATTTATCATATGACATGTGCTACCACTATCCACTACATACATTTTGTCTTTTCACTTTCATCACTCACGTGGGTTTCTGCTGCTTCAGCTAGAAAATTGACCTTGCTCCTTATATTCCCATCTTTAAAATAACAGTCCTTTTCAGCATGGTTTATTTTCTTACATACTGGACATTGTTTTCTCGTATCACTGTCCTTATTTCTAGAGTAACAGTCCTTTTCAGAGTGATTATTCCTTTTACAGATAGAGCAATTTCTCTTACCTTTGTTGGGCAGTTGAGCTGGGCATGACCTATTTGATTACAATTGAAACACTTGAAAGGGGTTTTACTTTTTGTTTTAGTTACTGTCTTAAAAGCTGTGCTTTCCTCTTCTTTAGTCGCCATCTTGCACTTCACTTCTTCCAACATCAATCTGGCCACCAGGTTGTCAAGGGTTCTGTCCATGGTCATTGTTGAGTCCCAGGTGGTGCTGAAGTGTTTGTAGTCTTCTGGCAGAATCGTTGTTATTTTTGTCAGGATCATGTTTTCATCAACATTTTGGTTCAGTTGACGAAGCTTGAAGGCAATGTTCTGCACATGACTTATATTCGTCATCATATACTTAGTTTTGTCATGAAGTTGTAGAAGTCTTGTAGCACAAGGCACTTCTCTTGAGAGGTATCTCGCTGATGTCATACATTTCTTTCGTGGTTGTGCATGTCACGATGTGGGTCTTCACATGTTTCTCTATTGTTCTCACTATGTAATATTGGCACTTTGCATCTCGCATCTTCCATTTCCTTATACAGTAAAACTTGGTTATAGCAACATCGGTTTCTGCAACACCTTGTCTNTCTGTACTTAACTACGTATTTCACTAAAAAATGCAACATTTTAACTCGGTTTTTGGTAGATTTTTACGTGACTAACATAAGGCTACTGTGGAAGTGCCCATTTCGGTTACAACGACATTCGTTTATAACGACACTATTTTTAGGTCCCTTTGATGACGTTATAACCAAGTTCTACTGTATTTTCTTTGTCTCTTCCTTGGTCACTTAACAGGTCCCTGCCATCAGTAATGTTTATCAGTTCTTTTGCACGCATCAGAATCTTGATTTCAAAATCCCACAGTGGAAATAAGTCAGTGTCCTTCAGTTTTGGCAGATAAGTTACCTCTTCTGTCTCTGTGGTTGCCATTTTTCATTATTCTTCTTCTGTCTTCTCCTTTTTTTTGCTTTCCTTTTTTTAATTTTTGAGCAAATCTGGGCCCATAACCTGTTGATTTTCTTTGTGTTGTGCTTACATATCACTTAACAGCCATATTGGATGAGAAGAAACTTTTTTATATAATACAAAACAAAAACAAATTAATATAGATCACTATTACCAACTTGAACATTTTTACATTACTAGATTCTCAACAACATGCTGGCCACCCTTTATCGCCAGGAGGATCCCTGGTACTCATTTCTGTCAGAGGCTGAGTCACCCCAGGGCCACAATGCAGCTGGAAGGATCAAGTAAACTATTAAAAAGTTTGAAGACCTCATTGGGAAATGAACCCATGACCTTCTGGCTTGTAACATAGTGCCTCAACCAACTATGCTACCACCTGCCCCCTAATTCCAATAATACAATAAGAATCACCATCACACCAAAAATTAAATGCAGGCTGCATTGCTGTTATATTGGTGTTTATACTGTATAAAAATTACATCAACATTGCTTTTCAAAGTGTTATTATTATACAAAATACTAGGACCCTGCACTAAGTGTGGTTGTTTTTTATTCCATCTGAGAATGTTATATGGCCGCCATGGTGGCATTACTGATGTCAAAAGTTTAGAGGAAGTACAAAGATTAGATGGTCTGTAGTGGTATGATACTGATGCCAAATTTTGCAGTAACCCATCAGTTGGTTTAAAAGTTATTATGGGGCAGAAGACACTTGCATATAGGATGTAATTGATATCATATGCTTATCTTTTTTATACAGTCCATTTCTACCTTGCTATGACCTCTCATCATGTGACACAGGCTCTTGAGTTCAATACAATATCTTCTGCTTATGTTACAATGATATATGTAGACATGTAATGAATGGTCTGATTGTAACAAACATGCTCAAAATAACACTCAGAGACATTCAGAACAAGGATAAAAAAGGAAGAAGTATAGGAACATTACCTTTCTTGCACTTCTTCTGGATTGTTTTTGTCTGCTCACAAGTGTTTTGGTCTCCTTTCTTCAGGGTGAGAATACGAGACCTCATGTTTGTCTTTGGATCACAGTCTGACCACGTGCCCTTCACATAGCGACAAGGGTCTGAAATAACACAAAATGTGATCAATGCTCTCTTAGAAAAAACATCAGTTTTATCAGAGGTTATAATATAAAGCCAAGTTATAATATGGACGTTAGATGAGTGTAAAAGGAGGAAAGGATTTCTTCCCTCTTCAGTGGCCCAAATGAACAATAGCTGATTGTAGATTTGATTACTAATTTAAAAGCATGCAACTATAAATTAAATATATGAAGTTTCAGATTATACAAATTTATAAGAAAATGTATAAGACATTATTATAGAAAATATTTATGAAAAGTTATCTTTCGGGTTGTAATATACTCTTCATTAGAAAACTTCGTGTTTTTCCAGTGAGTTCTTGAAATAATTACTGTTCAATTTCTCACCTTAGCCAGTAGAGACAATTTCATATCTATGTACATAAATAAGCATTCTGACATGATAGCTGAAAAGCCAGAATAGTGGAATGTGTAGATGTGTTCAGTGCTGGACAATGACACAGTAAATACACGTCTGTGGCGATGGAAACGCATGCACGAGAAGCTTAGCGCCAAGACAAACTGATTGGTGGTAAACCACCATCTTAAAGTAACTCTGGCTCTGAAGTTAGTCAATTGTGAGATGGCAGCCAGCCAGCAATGACATAAGCATGAAAGGAGAGGAATATCCATTACTGAGAGCTGTTACCTAGCAACAACTAATGAAGGCATGGAAGATTTTATGTGTGCTGTAGTTACAGTGATCTTAGGAATGTGTAAACTAGTGAAATGATTATGGTTGCTTGTAATCACGAGTTATGAATGTTCAAATCAAATTATCAATGAAACCCCATGTCTGGCCACTAACACCTGACGGTACAAATGAATTACTTTATATGCTGTTGCTGAGCAAATGTTGTTACTATAGTATCATAAAGGGACTCACAGTAGTTAAATTAAGACCAAATATTTAAAAATTTAAAATAAGTTGTGGATACTAACAGTAAATGGTTAAAACAAGTTTTGAAATAAGTTAAGAAGTCTTGTAAAGTATACAGAAGAATGTAATAAAGGCCTTCGTTTCTACTGTTGGTTATACAGAAATTCCTTTATTGTTTGCCATACATCCATCTGTATGGTGATGTGATGTGTATCCAACAAAGTGTGTGGTAGTGTGTGGGATGTGTCATGCAAACTTTAATTTTCATCTGCTCTCATAATTTTGTACGGAAAAATATGATTATGATATTGTCACCTGTTGGGTATGTCACGCAACAAATAACTTTACGTGGCAAATACAAAGGCAAAAATAATACCATCTAATGTGACTATTTAAGTTTTATCACTTGAGGACTTATCACCCTTACATGTTTCGATCCCTACGGATCATCCTCAGAGGGCATCAATACTTTCGGAAACTATTGTTACAATAGATGTTAATTATATAGATACACATGTGATGTCTGAAATGCACAATATACGCAATGTTCAACCTTTCACATTCACAGCAGCCTTCTTGGTGTTAAAACTTTTTAAAGTTTTTTTTTTTTTAACTTTACGTGGGTCTCGGATTTAGCAAAACTTTATTGGACATTCACTCTTACACACCGTACAATTATTATCACTTCAACTGTATTCTGTGGTGGCTTTCTTTCAACTGTATAGTATGGTGACTAGGTTCCAACTGTGTTTGTTGCTGTCTGTGGCTTTCGGCTTATGTAGGTGTTCTGTGGACTCAGTAGAGGACCCCCCTCGCCAAGGTTCGATCTCACATGTTCGGCAATCCGTTGCTTTGGGAACGTTCTTTATAGATAGGTAATGTGTTTCGTCTCATCCGCTGTTACTCAACGGCAATTCATCACTATGATTTGTCGCTGTGGGATCTCCACAATTTCCATTGTAACCGTTGCTTGGTGATGGATGTAAGATAACTCGTCACAATATCATCATATTCATACATTCGTCCTCCAGTGTGTATGTTCCCAACAGTGGCTTTTGATTCATCACTATGATTTGTCGCTGTGGGATCTCCACAATTTCCATTGTAACCGTTGCTTGGTGATGGATGTAAGATAACTCGTCACAATATCATCATATTCATACATTCGTCCTCCAGTGTGTATGTTCCCAACAGTGGCTTTTGAAGTGACTGATCAATCTTTATTAATCTTTGTATGAACATCATGCTGCTAGAGGTTGCCCCACCTTAACAAGATGAACTGCAGGTAATATAAATCAAATTTAATGCAAGCCTGTATGTATCTGTAGAATTTTGCTTCTAGGTTCTTGGCAACAATTGGAACATTCATCAATGGTGGGTAGATGTTATAGTGTAAAATTATTCTGCATAAATAAGTATTTCTCCCCGCTTATCTTGCTCAATGCTTACTATAATGTAGTGAATAGTGGGAAAAAAGGTACAGGAATATGTGTTTAAGACATGTCAGAAAAATGAGTTTTAATATGTTATAAAAATCAGAGCAGAACAAAGAGCAGTTCTCCTACTTCAATGATTTGTGCTAGAATTAGTGTATGAGAAATTTTAATATATTAATATATTTTATTTGAAATAAAACACAGTGTACAGAACATACTGTATATAAATTTCATGCTGGGTTGTGAAATGTCTTATTCTGTTATCTCCAGTCTGCTGCAAGTGAGTTCAGTTGTATTCAGGTTAGGCTTGTGGGGCCCCTGTTCAAGGAAACCATAGGCAGCTAGTTGTATATATGTTTACAGAAAATAAAATTTTGAACAATACCGACATATTTAAAAAAATATTTCTTAGGAATTTATTAACACTTTCTGAAATTCTGAAATTTAAAATATATTCATTTAGTGTCAAGTTCTTTTTTGAACAAGAAGTTTGTGGAAAAATTGCATATTTTTCTGCATCTGCTCTCTACTTCCCTGTGTTGCACTTGGAAGATTGAATGGGATAAGTAAACTTTCTCCAGAAATTATAGTTCATTGTGCTTCTTGCATGGAGACTGAAGTCTGCACATTATAGCCCTGTTGCTCAAACAGCAGCTCCCATATTCCAAATATTCTAACAGTAAGCAAGTACACAGAGAGACAAACAGATGCTTTTCCATCATGTCCAAAACTTTAGAACAGATCCAGTAATTACTGGGGGCACTTGACCAAGTATTAAAACGTTTGGGGTATGGTAGACAGGCATTTTTAAACATCTGCAGTCTTCTCCTTGATGAGGTACGTAAACATAAGCAGAAATTAAATAATGCTTACTAGAGTTATGCAAACCTGAAAGTAAACCACTTCTTTTCTCCTTGGAATGCTGAGTTAACAAATCTGCTTAGGACTTGGTCTTGTGAAAATGGCAATTAATCTTCAAGTCCCATAAAGGGAAGGGGGAATTCTTTCATTGTCTAAATGACTATCAGCTTCTGAAGAAGGACTCTGTTTCACTGAATTAGTTGTAATCGATAGTTTTTAACGCTTTACTTTTGATATAAGCATTACCTCCCTTTTACAGATTGAGGAGCTCAGAGATAAATACTGAAAATAATTAAAGAGGATTATGCTATGTGTATGTGAAATGGATTTAACTGACTCTGTGACTCTGTGACCAGTGATGTGCTCTTAGCGATGCTGTTCAGTTTTCATGGGCTAGTTAGCTAGTTGAGATTGAGGTAAACTGGGTTTAAAACAATTTAAAATGTGTATGTTTAATTTTGTGAAAAATGTATGCTTTATGTATGTCCCATTCAGCCATGTAAGAACTACTCTTATATCTACAATGCAACTTTTGTCACTGGTATGGGCATAAAAGCTGAATAATATTACATTCCACCAGCATGAAAAACAGCTGTGACTGACTTATAGGTACAGTGCCAAATAAATAAATATATAATTTCTAACACAGCTACTTGTTCTTCAATTAATTCTGAAATTTTGCACTGGTAGTAAATGAATTAAGGGGCATGCAATAGTGTAGTTGGTTAAGGCACTTTGCTACAAGCTGGAAGGTCGCAGGTTCGATTCCTGATAAGGTCACTCGATTTTTCAATTGCTCTGTACCTTCCGGCTGCACTATGGCCCTGCGGTTGGCTCAGCCTCTAACAGAAATGAGCACCAGGGATCTTCCTAGAGGTAAAGGGTGGCCAGTACATAATGTTGACAAGCTTACTGCCATCTGTGAGCTGAGTGTCTAGAAAATGTTGGAGTCTCAACGTCTTACAACCCTATGGGCTTCCAACAGCCTGTTACAGCGATAGCTCTCTCCACCTTTTAGCAAGTGAATAAGTAGCAGAAATCAGTTAAACTTTCAATTATGTGTACAGTGAGAAAGGATAGCTCAGTTGGTATAGCTACAGGCTACAGGATGGATGAGGTTCGATTTCTGGGAGGAGCAAGAATTTCTATACCTCACAGTGTTCAAACTGACTCTGGGGACCACTCAGCCTCCAATCCAATGGATGCCAAGGGGGATCTTTCCTTGGAGATAAAGTGGCTGGGGCAGGAAGCTGAACACTAACCTCCAGCTAGCACTGAGGTCAGGAAGGATGGTGCTATATCTCCACTCCCCTATATCTTCAAGACGTTGTACTTAATTAGACACAGGGCCAATGCTACCTTTACCTTTTACTACATGTACAGTAAGAGCTCCTAGTTGAACTAATATCTCACCTCTCTTCTTAGCTCCCCTCTCGCTGCGGATCAGTACCTCATGGTCATCCTCCTCCCATATTTCACCTTCAGCCATAGCTAGAGTGACCAGCACCAGTGCTGCAAACATTATCGCCATCCACTTCATNAGTGTACGCACTGCAAGACGGATTAAACAAATCATGAACTTAAATCAGTGCAACAGGACGCTAAAATATAACATTGGAAACTAATAACGATNTTTTATAGTGCTTTGTAAATAATATAATAAATGGAAACTAATAACAACTCAAAGTCCCACAAAGACTTATCAAGGCTTCAGAAACATCTAGGATTCTCTCAGAAACGATAGAATATCTAGTTATCCTAGCCTAGTCTCAAAGAATACTGTATTTCTTCTTGCAGTCAAAAATATTCTGAATATTCTTGTACAGAATGGTACCTGCATGATTTATCCATTCTCCTTTTAGATTAGAAAGTAAGTTATATCACTTTTTCAGAGTGTACTTTCGGTTAATGAAGTGACTGGCTACAGACTGAACCAGGGCTCAATTCCCAGCAGAGATTCTTTCCTTCGCCATCACTTCCAGTCAGTGTGCACTGAAATGAGTGTCTCTTAATCATATGACATAATTTTAAATATGTGCAGTGTTCGCTTTCTAAGTCTAGAGTCAACAAAAAGGCTTCCAGGCGTCTTGTCACACTGCTCCTTTCTTAACGCTGTTTGTCTCGAATAAACTACAGGTGTACCACCATTTATTTTTCTCTGATGGGGCGTGCCTGTGACATCTACAGTCGCCCTCGAGAATAGCACCGTATCGCAACGTCATACTGGTCTCCTTCCTTAGGGCTGCTCCCCTAGAGCAGATAATCAAAAGTTGTGGGGAGGTGGGGGACACATACAGACATACAGACAGCAAGGTAAGCTCATAAGCCTCCTTTTTTTCTTAAATAAGGGAGGTGGGCTCAAATTACTACTTCCTTATTGATAATTTTTATGGGGTACGCCTACTCAATCTCGTGTTACAATATTCTGAATGCGCCACGAAATTAGGCATGTGTCCTACAGTTATTTTAAAAGGACTCCACAGATGATATATAATGGAGCCCTAAATGTTGAATTGTGTAAAAATATTCTGAATTTTATGAAGATTTTGAGTATCGCTCTGGGTTCGATTCTCTGCAGGGGCAAGATTTTTCTCTTCTTCATAGCATCCAGATTGGTTTTGGGACCCACCCAGCCTTCTATCCAAAGGATATCAGAGGTTCCTTTCCCGGGGCTAAAGCAGCAGGGACGTGAATCTGAGAACTCATCTTCATCTAGTGCCGAGGTCAAGAATGGTGGAGCTATATCGCCACTACCCCATACGTCTTCTTAGCGTGGTGCTTAGTTAAGCACAGGGTCACGTTTACCTTTACCTTTACCTACAGTCAGTATAAATCAACACACGACGGCCATTCTAAATAGCAGTTTTACAATATTATTCAATATCCTAGCCAAGAGGGACATATGAAAAACTCTTCCTAATAAACAGTTCTATGGAAGATCTGCAATGGAAACGTTACCACCAAACGGCCAAACAATGGGCCACAAAACGTTAACTTCCACACAAGCCGAGTACATCAACAACATCGAACTGTTCTTTAGTTTCAATCTCTGCCCACGGTTTTGAACTTCACAATACATCGGTAAACTATTCTGCATATAATAACTGTCAGGGACCTGCTATCTTGACTTGGGTTATCGTGGATTACCTGAATTCCTCTATACCAATGAAATATACCTTAGGACATGATCGCAATGGAATGTACCTTGGGATATGGTTGCTTCCTTCAACATGCCTCCCATGTGAACAAGCTTACTACATCTTATTCGACCCCATTCGATCCTAGCATTTGAGAAAACAATCTGCACACTGGAAAGGCTCTGTTATTTCTTTCTGGCCAACAATGCATTTTTCTTAAATAAATCATCAGTGCTACGGTAGAAGCAGAGCCGCCATATCGATAGATATCTGCAATGGCAGCAAAGGACATCACAACGACTGAGTTAACAGAACAAAGTTTTTCTGTTGGAGGAAACCCCATGCCAATAAACATGAACGGTGTTCAGAATATAGGGTTTTAAAAGCTGATATTTTTTTAATATACGTACCATACATAAATTTCGTCTACAGATATATCCCCTATTTAATCTTCAGTCTAGATATATTGGGCCTATATTTAATCCACTGCTAGAGCATAACATACAGCCCCTTTTGATGTATCAGTCACATGAAGGCAGGGATAATACAAAGAACCTGGTTTGAGGAAACTAAACACAAGCACGATGCCATGTGCCCACCAGCAGTAGTAGTTGGTGATGGGAATCTCGTAAATGAGAATAATACAAGAAAGGGCGTTTATTTACATTTTTCACATTATCCTGACGCCACTCCCTCAATACCATCCCGTCTTTTTCTTTTTCCCCTGGGATAAAACAAACAACGTGGATGAAACATTGCTGTGGAAGACGATGTTAGAAACAATTCAGAGTTACTACTTTTAGTCTATGTTCCTCTTTCGTGCCGAGATTTCCTCTATACGATCTGCCAAAGCTACTGGCAGGTAGAACAGTTAGTGAGGTGACTGGCTACAGACTGAATGGCCTGGGTTCAATTTCCAGCAGGACCCATTGCATGTCTTCCACACTCGCCAGATTTGAATCCTCTGGATTTTTACCTGCGGGGACACCTAAAACCCTTGTGAAGGCAGCTCCTGTTTAAAACGAAGGGGCACTCGATCTCAATAAGGATGCCTGTCAGACTACACTCAACTACCCAGATATATTTCAATGGACGTGACAATCTAGTAGTATGAGAAGTGTCGAGACGTGCATTGAATTTTATGGTGAACGTTTTGAGCACTTATTATAAATGCATTCTTTGAGCTACAACCCACAAATTAAATGTTTTCGGACACGTGTTGATATAGATATTTTTTCTGTTTTGTTATGTGGAATTCATGGCTAAATTCGCACCTTTGATTTACACCCTGTATATACACACATAATATTATATTTCTATGTGTATGTGTAAAATAAATTCAAATTTCCGTGTCCAAATTGGTATGAGAAAATCGAGTGGAACCTACTTCAGATTTGCTTTCATGGGTACCTTAACGTCTTGGGAACACCATTCGGGATTTAGGATATCCAGTCATAATGAATTATGTATTAATAATGTAATTATTTAAATGTTTTATCAGCAAGTTCTGTCACCGAGAACAATTTACAGTAGGTTAACAATTTTGGAAGTAGATATCTTTTCTCTGGAAGATCTGTGGCCCACGATATCTTCGAAATAGACCATTCCGGCTTCCCCCCCCCCAAAAAGTGCCTATTCTTAATCTAGAGTATATGGACTTTTACCTCCACGGCTTTATGCCCTAGCGCTTAAACAGAAGGTCAACTCTACCTCTATATTCTTAGTGACGAATTTCCAAATTACTGTTGATTCGTTTTAATTTGCGGATATAATCCCAAAGTATATTTTTATCCAAAGTTTTAGCAATAATTAGGCTTGTGACAAGATATGTTAAACGTCCATTCACAAAAGAAGGTACGTGATGTTTGCCTATACATATGAACGAAGGAACGAGGAGCTCAACCACGTACAGTGCACCTTCTCTAGTTCTGTACCCAGAAGGCACAAACGTGCTGCCTACTGTGCACCATCTATTACTATATCATGGAAATTACGAGATTAATGGCTAAAGGAACAATCCAAACTTGGGGGAAATTTGGCTCCTGCCTGGTGGCAAATGTTACGATTTTCGGCTTTCGGTATTCCTTGCATCATGATGTATATTTAAAATATGCCATATTTTAGAGAAGCGGCATACCGAAGAATCTCATGAATTCTAAGACAGTCCATGTGCTTACATGTTGTATTTATCTTGTCGTTTTCTTCCACGTCTTATCACGAGGATCCCTAGCTCCAAGCTTGCATTACACTGGCCCATGAGCAAGTACATCATGCCACTTTACTGTTGTTACAATTAGACATGTTGGGTTCCTAGATTTTTATTTACGCAGAACAATCACGAAATGTTTGATTTATTCTATAACATCGATAGCGAATACTAACTGGTGTACTATGGAAGCTTTAGATTTCTGCAGTTTTTACACCTTCTGTAGTGAAAATGAAAAATTGTTCAGTTAAATGCACACATCGAAAATGTCTACTATTACTGTTATTAATATTATTACTGGGGGCACGCGGTAGCGTAGGTGGTTGAGGAACTATGCAACTATGCTACAAGCCGGAAGGTTGCTGGTTGGATTCCCGATGAGGTCACTGGATTTTTCAATTGACCTAATCTTTCCTGGCACACTATGGCCCTCGGGTCGACTCAACCTCCCACAGAAATTAGTATCAGTAATCTTCCTGGATGTTAAGCGTGGCTGGTGCGTAAGGCTTACCTAACAACTGTGAACTGATTTTCTAGAAAATGTGAGAGCCTCGACGTCTCACAACCCTATGAACCTTCACGGCCTGTTACAATGATAGCTTTACCTTTTACCTTCCTTATTAATACTACTAGTATTTCTACTACCACTACCGCTACCACCATTACTACCACCACTGCTACTACTGCCACCACTACTTCTAAGCCGTGTTATCAAACATCTGAGACAGTGAGTAATGCTAAACATGATTTTGGTACACGTGTAATGAACCCACCATTGTAACAGACATTTAAAGAAACTTGTACGTAATTTCTTTGGCCTACGTAATAATTTTGGCCGGATGTTGTACATCTGTACAAAATGCAACAAACAGTAAATAGTACATATATGTAATTACAGGTGTAAAGATGTAGTAGACTGTATGAATAATTAAATTTCCTCTATGGATGATGGGCTTTGTTATTTCTACTTATACAGAAATTGCACATAGTCCATGGGTAACCAGGCATAAATTGTATCTAAAACCTTTATTTATAATCTTTGATACTTGCGTTTTGACAAGAACTTACAGTCTTAAATATATAATTTAAAACTTGTATGGCATTTGTTAATTACCGGTATACACTTCTTTACACTGTATTAACTGTGATTATTATTACATTCGGTATTTCCAAATTTAGTGTAACATGGTGCTCTTA